GCGAGGTCTTTTGGTATGCATTCAGTTCCCGGCCGAGACAGCGTTGTTTCACAGTATGATGGATTATGGAAACGGCAAACGTGGGACAATAATATGCAAAACTTAAGAAGACGGGGCCCACTGCTTATGCTAATGATTTCATGGAACCCCGCTCCAAGCGCGCAGCCAGGGCCTTGGCAAGAAGTGGGGGCACAGGGTTGACAAAGAGCCCGCTAATTGTGAAAAAGCTCCCCCTCAAAAAAGAAAAGGCAAATTGCCGGATGTGGCCCATTTTTAAATGAGGGCATTCTTTTCGTTGATATTTTTCTCAACTTTTCCTTCTACAACTGGAAGAGAAGCATGAGGCTACCGCGAGATATACTCTGACTAAATCTTATAGTCAGCGAATTGAACATATGATGCCTTAAGCGATTGCATGAGATGAATCGCCGGCGCTCTCAATTTTAGAATGATCCAGAGCACTCTTTCTAAACCGACTGAACTCATAGGCTTCATCATAATTTTTTTCTGGGTTTTACAGAGATATTAAGGAACCCGCGAATGCAGATTGGGGTTGAATGGGTCAACAATTTATAATAACTTGACCAAGTTGTGTTTGGCTGGAAAGGCTCAACGTTAAGTCAGAATCGGTTAGTGATGTAAATTATGCACGTTCTTTTAAGCATGCGCGCACGCAAATTTTGGAAGAAAAAACTCGACGTCGGGCGTTCAGCCTCCATAGGCCGCCAGCGTCGGCTCCGAGGCTAGCATTATACCGTGTGGCCCACAGGTGGACGAAAATGATGATGCATCTGAAAGAAGCCCTTTTGAAAGCCTTAGGACACCAAATCGCATATTTAGAAAATAGTCCGGGCGTATATTTCACCGGAGCGATTTTTTCGATCGATTTCCTAACTGATTAGCATTTATGGCAACGCGAAGTGGTGCTGGCTGGAATCTGGTGGTGAAAGTGGAGGGGAAAAGTGGAGTCTTTATTTTTTGTGTTGCTGCAACTTCTTATCTGTCCAAAGGGCCGCCTCAAAGCTGTTAAAAGGATACGCCCAGTCTTGGCTTGGAACGGTACGGATTAATTTTGAAAGTCATTCGGAACCAATATCTTACAATGGCCGTTCTCGCGCGGGGCGCGTGGTGTTACTTGCAGTGGCCATCCCATTCGGTTTCACGGGACTGCAATCCAGACCATCGCTGTCCCTGCTCCCGAGACTGTGGGCGCGCATCCTCAGCCCTTTTGATGAAATTTGTTTCACTGACCGATTCTGCAAAGAATGAACGTTCTCACATAAACATAAAGTAGCCTTGTTCATTTTTGAACTCATTTTGACCCAATCTATTCCCCACTAATAAGACCCTTATTTTTTTAGACAAAGAGGCCTCTTGAGTAGAACACAAGGGGGCACATCATTGTTCCCGGTCAAGAGCTCAAGGGCCATTCCGTTCCAATGCGGGGTGTCTTCCTGCTGCCTTTTTGGCGACACGGGCCGGGATCTCCTGGTTGATCCGGAGGCCCTTAGAGGGATACATCACATCGTATTGGTCCTACGCGGGGGGCCTTCTGACCCGGACAGTTGGCCCGGATCGACGCAGGAGCCCTCATTGACGCAATAGCGTCCCTGATCGCCGCAGGTGATTCAATAATTGGCGCATGGGCTCCAGGTTGGCTAAACGGGTCCATGCTAGGGTTCACCGTTTGGTACCGGGGGCCCTGGCGGACACAGAGCCTTTCCATTGTTTTAGTGTGAGCACTTATCATAAGTTATTTATTCCCTTTCATTGTCAGAGGGCCCCGACCAACGCAAAAGGTCCTCTGTCACCCGGAGTCCCGTCTTCGTCCCCGTTCAGCAAATGCTCCCCTGACCGACACGAGGCCTCCTGTTGACACAAAATACTTTATCCGGCAGTGTGAAACCCTGGACGATATAGGAGCCCTCCATTGTTGCAGAGGCCCCGACCAATGTAAATCGCGGGCCCGGCCTTGACACTGCTCAAGAAATGGGCCCAAGAGCTCAAACCGACACGGAGTCGACTGCTCGGTGTTGGTGATCTCTGACCAAAATAGAGGGACGCTCTGTGGGGTCTCCAATCGTTACAAGGGACACTCTAGCTATAAATTATGACACGGGCTTTTATTTACCATTCCAGTCCTTTACATGAACTACAGCCGGCCCCTCGGGCGCTTCAGTCCTGTAATCGGTCCTTTGTTTTGGTTCCGAGTGGCCCTTCGGCCTTTCTTCAGACCTCCTCAAACGAAGCCCGCGACTGACTGGGGACCACTAGCCGACACATGCCCCCAGTTATGTACTATGGGCCCCTGACCGACACAGGGGCCCCAATCATTGTTTCAGGGGGACCCAGACCAATGCAAGTTCGTGGCCCCAGCCTTGGTTCCTTTCTAGAAAATGGGCCCCTAGGGTTTCAGCGCGACCAGGGAAGCCAAAGCTTTTGGGTGTCGTTGGCCCCTGGCCAATCCGCGAACTTCCGCCTGTCTCCAGGGGGCCCCCCCCCTCGTCGCACGGTGATGAAGAGGATCCTCTGACTGATAGTTCAGGTCACGCTTAGGTTTTGATGGACCCTGATGGGTCGCAATTTTTCATGTGGTCTACAGCCAGTACTTCACGCCTTTATGCCCTCCATCGAGCCCCTGATTGTCGGTTCCAATTGGTATGCCCGGGGCCCCCTTCGGGCCCCCTTTGGGCTCCATCGAGCACTGGTCTTGTTCGGCTCGGGATCCCTTGCAAACACAGGACCCTCTGTTGGGCATTGCGGACAGCTACAGGGGGCCCCAACCAATGTAAATGGCTGGGCCTGGCGTTGTAGCTGATTGGGAAGTGGACCTGTTGGGCCCATCGAGACACGGAGCTGAATGTGCGGTGCTGGTGGTTGCCTGGCCGACATATAGGCCCATATCGACTCAGGGGTCCCCGACCGGCGCAAATTACATTTAATTGCCATTTGAGGGCCCGTCCCCGGAGGCTGGTGCCCCTGAGTGAGACCCGACCAGCCCTTCGTGCCCTTAAGGACATGCTTCCACATTTGTATGGGTCCTTTTGAATTAAAATGACCATATTGAAGACCTTTTGATGCAGCTCACAGCCATGCCCATTTAAGACTTAAAATGCAATGGTTCTCGAGCTTAGAGGCTGCTAAGATGTGAGAGAGTATTTCAAGGTCACCTTGAGATTGGGATTCTGACACCATAAAAACGTCATTCAAACCTATGCCACTCCATATGCCATGCGGCGATCAAGACCAAGAAAATACCACGGTTGAGGTTTTATATACGTGGTTTTCGTGATCGCGATCTAGAGATAAAACGCGGTCAACTGGCTCTCAATCATATGTTGCAAGGTGCGATGAACGCAATCAAAGAAGGACGTTACGTGGAGCATATTTAAAGAGAGAGGAGGAGCTTGTGTTGCATTGGACAGTCTTTTCTACTTAAAAGTATACCGATAGTCATAGGCGAGCTTGTTTTCATCATATCTGACGTTTGCCTCAATATCTTCAAATGATTAAGCATCCCCTTTAAGAGCCCTCAAATCGGGCCCTTGATCATCGCTTCCTCGGTGGGCCCTCCAGGCTCTTCGTGCCTGTTTGAGCACTGCCTCTGGCCGACTCGGGCCCCTTGAACCCTCTCGACACAGAACCCTCTAATAGGCGCTGTGGGGCCCTGGCAGACGCTGGGCCCCCGACGAAGGTAAATCGGTGACTCTTGCTTTGTCCCTGGTTGGAGAATGGGTCTTCAGGACCATGCCGACACAGAGCCGACTGTACGCTATGCCGACACATGCCGACACAGAGCCGACTGTACGCTAACGTTGGTGTCTGATCGACATGCAGGCCTTTATCGACCCAGGGGCCCCTGATCAGTGCGCAGGGCCCTCCGAATGGCATTGAAGTGCCCGGCCATGCAGGCTGAGTCCCTGAATGCGATCTCCGCCCGGAATGGGCTCTTAATCGTAGGCCCCGAAGTGTTCAAAATGTCTCTCTGAACTGAAGCGGCCCGAGGGGGTGCCATTGCCCCTTTTGCCCCCTGCCTGCGCTGCTTCCTGCTTCCTGCCCTCGAAATTTTGTAACGTTTGATGACAAAATGTCATATGCCTTACTCTATCTGCACCAGACACATTTGTGTGCGTATGACGTTGACGATGTGGATATACGTTTCTCCCAAATACCAGACAACCGGGACCATTTCACTAAAATTTCAAGCTACGCAATGCGTAACTACGTACAGTGCAGGGCATATCTTTCCCTTTCCTTCATCTGGTAGTCAGCCGTATTACTGCCAAATCATCGAAAGTAAACACACGCGGCGAAGACAAAAGTGGCAGAACAACAAATAACAAAATCATCAAAAACGTGCCGGGCTTAAGGCGGTGAAACTCAAAATACCCGTACCAGTTTGGAGCTTGATGAATGGGCTGCGGGGCAAAAACTGTCGCGCGTGATTTGGTGCTTAAACCTGTTGAATTAGCAACTGATCGTCCTATCCAGTTGATGGTAATTGGTGGGCGGTGGCGACCAGCGATGTTGCTGGTCTTCAGTGGTCATGGAGTCTGTTTTTTCCTTCTTTAGGAACGTGGCAACACATGCGTATAAGTTGACGATGCTGTAATACGATTGATAGATTAGTTTTGGACCGTAATTTTCTGACTATAGTAAGATTCATGCATGTTTTCCACTACTTTGATTGTCATGTCACAATAAAGTTAACAGAATGGGTGTGATGCAGTGTATTGGTGTTATGATTGAGTAGGTATTTTGACTGAATGCTAATTGAATCAATCAGAAGGCTATCAAAATCAGTGATGGGCAGCCTGATCTATGTTTTTGATATTTATCAACCTAGATTTGGTTTGCATATGTTTTTGAAGTCATTGTTATCTATAAGTGTCACTGTTTTTTACCTTTTCACAGCCATTTCCAGCTTAACTGTATTAATATTTTGTTTGCTCCAGTCTGGAGTTTTGCAGATATCTTCTGCAATAGCATCATCAACCAAGCAGCATCATCTCTTCCCATTGTGGCATCTCTGTGGTCGGTCACTCCAGATGGAGATGGTGAAGAAGAGAAGGGCACCAGATGTAGCTGATGAGTCTGGAGGTCCAAAAAAAGAGTGCCAGGAGCCCACCCAGTCTAGCAGACCTGATGCACCACTGGCCAGCAAGCTGCGGAAAAAGATAAATGGTGTGTTAGTAGATTACATTTTTATCCAATATTGTCTTGTCATTATAATCAAGCTTAATGCACTGCCTATTCTCCCATTTTTGTGACTGTGCTTCTTTTAACAGCATAATTAGCTTTTAGTACCATGATTGGTAAAAAATTTCTGCCATGATATTTTCAAGGTATTGACTTGTGACTTTTTCAAGCAGGTGGCATGTTCCTGAAATGCTGCCATGTCACCAACCTTCACTTCCCCACTTAATTAAGATGGGTAACACAAAATTTGGACTGGTTAAACTGGTTGAAGAATATGGGCTGCAAACAGGCTCTGATCTTGGCCAGCAGCCATCACAGGAGAATATGAAGCTAGCCAATGCTGGCGGGAGAGAAAACGTGCCATTCAGTGCATCAATGTGCCAATGTGCAGATGTCACTTCATTATGCAGATGTCATTTGATTATGTTAAATGTAAGGAAATGCCTTTGGGTAATTTTAGCAGTGACAGCATTAGTAATAAATGGGAGGCCAAGAACTAGACCAGATCAAGGAAGAAAAGGACTCAGGGGGTTATAACTTCTGGGATTTAAAGGGTGAAAAACAATGTGCTCCTAGGAATAATGCTCTTCAGACACTGGGGCTTGTAACAGGAATGCCCATTATAAGAATAGGAATACTGACAAAAAGTTGTTCTCAGCTTACATCATACCACACCTAGAGTACTGTGTGCAGGCTGGTCCCCATGCTTCCAAAAAGACACAGATAGACTGGAAATAGTACAGCAAGAAGCAACTAGTGTGATAAATGGGATTGGCAACAACAAAAAAGATCTCATTTATAGCTCAATTTATGTAGGTCAGGTTATTAGTTTTGAGTATGTGCATGGAACCTAAGGTAGGCCAACCTCAGTGGGCCCTCTATAGGTCTTTGTTGGCCAGATACCATTATATCTTTATGTATTTATGTCTTTTCCATACAGGCAGCAAACATGAAGCAAGTATGTGTAGTAAACTTGAGCAAGGAATCATGTAGGTCGATGTGTGGGAAATGCCATTCCCTCTTGACTTGACAGAAGCCTTGGATTTGTCCATTTTGTGTTGATTTTGGACCTGGGGGCTCGGGCGATATCAGATCTTGGTAACAGAGCAGGTGCAATATTGAAACCAGCTATGCAGCTTGGACAAACAAGTGGGTCTAATTGGCACAGAGGCCTACAGGTCCAGTAAGTGATCCCGCCAGTGCTTGACACAAATATGTGGCAGTAATGACAGGCGATCTGCCAGTAACACAATTTTAGAAACTGGCCTCAAAACAATATGCTTTGGCCTGAAACAGTAAGAGTTGGCTCATTAGAACTACACAGATGCATAGCCCAGTTCATGGTGATCAGTAACTATCCAAAATGTAGCGTGCTTCCCAGTACTTAAACAACGATCATTCGGAAAAACGCCCAAATTCATCGGCCTTATCCATCCCAGTGGTCGGGCCTGGACAGGTCGAAAGCGAACCAATATTCCAGCAATGTCATAATAGCATTGTGTGTGATTGCTGAACAGCAGTGCTTTTCCACCTGGTTAGGTTATGAGTGGAGGTTATTCCAGTGTAGCAATACGTGCCTTTCATATAGGGTTCTAAAGGTGACAAGCCCCATTCTTGTACACTTTGGTGTCACCCACATGCCACGTTTGTTATTACCATCCGCTCCTCAAGTGACGCCTCCTTGTCTTATAGGCGTAAGTTTTAGCGTGATACTACCACTATCATCCGAAATTAACTCGTCAAATGATTTGAACACTAAGGATGATGTTACGTTTTCATGGTTCCATTCCCATAGTGTGCATATAATGCACAGCTGCATACCTGCTCTGCACTTCAAATTATGCTTCCGCCACGAACCCTACCAGCGGTCTATCATCTATCATCTCTATCATCGGAACTCCACCAGCTGACCGGTCTCTCCGCCCGAAGCCGAGCCCGGCCCCCCGCCGGCCGAGCCCTGCGTGCCCGACATCGAGGACTGGTGCCCAGCCGGCTGGCAGCAGGTGCTGGAGAACGTGCGCAGCATGCGCGCGGCCCGCGACGCCGCCGTCGATCGGATGGGCGCCGAGTCGTTCGCCGCCGATCCCCAGGTCGTCACGCCCGAGGTGGGTGCTCCCGAGTGGCGGGCACCCCGGCGGGCCGCCGGGACGGGCCGGCGAGCTGCCGCCGCGAGCGTGCGCCGTGTCGTGAACGGCTGCCGTGCCAGGGCCACGGCTCCCGGTCTGTCAGAGACGCGCGGCTCAGAGGTGTGCGCAAAGTTCCCTTCGAACGTTCGTGTCGATTTCACTGGCGCTTTTTCTGCCAGCGTGGTAGTGCCAACGGCTGGAGCAGCTGGGTCGGCGTGAAGTAACCTTTTTGTGTGTGTTTAGCTAAGCTTTGTTAGGTGGTACACTGATAGGTGTCGTGCCCGGCTTCTGTCCGTGCCATTGTGCGAGGCTGTCAGAATACCAGTACTGCAAACAACAAGCATGTAGGTTGGGTGGCGAATACTTAACTATCTGTCCTTATTTTCGTAATTATGCTGTTCATTAGGATAATGAAATATGTTAAGTATTGTTCGCCCCAATGAGCCTATCTAAATGTGCCACTGTCACTGATATCTGACCCCACTTGAGCCCTGGCGGCCTGAGATTATTGCGAACCCAACTGACCTCACTGACCTCTTAATCCGACCCCAGCTGACCCCAGCGAGCCCGCTTGTCCCTGTTGATCCGTCACGAGCGCCCCGTGACCCCGCCTGCCCCCGGCGTCCCCAGCTGGCGCGTCTGCACGTGCTGGTCTCGCTGATGCTCTCCAGCCAGACACGTGACGAGATCAATCACGCTGCCATGACGCGGCTGAAGGCGGCCGGCCTGTCCGTGCCCTGGCTGCTGCAGGTGGACCAGGGCCAGCTGGCCCAGCTCATCAAGCCCGTCGGCTTCTGGCGGGTGAGTGCGGCGCGGCGGGTGCTCGTGTGGGGTGCGGTTGTTCTAGTTGCGGGCCGCGTGTCAGTGCGCTTGTGGGGGAGGGGGGGGGGGGGGGCTGGTAGGCTGGGGGTGGGCTAAACTGGAAAAGCTGGCAGGTTTATGTTCGGTGCGTGTTTGTGGTATTGAGCCGAACCGCATTGTAATGTATGACATGGTTATGAAAAGCAGGATTGACTTATGTACCTCGCGTTTAGCTTTCCGTCACATCGTGCTGGTGACAGGCCGCTGCTCATCAGACTGCTTTTGCTATGGAGATTGGCGGTGTCGACCTAAAATATCAACTACACACACCATGTGATGACGAAGCATGACAAATTGGGTTGCTGAACGTTCGCTGTGAACAGTTTTTCACCCTCGGAGATTGTTTCCAAAGTGACCTAATTCGACCTGGATATATGAACCGCGCTGCTGTAGGGAATGCAGTCCAGATAGTTATGTGCGTTTACGGTTCTCTATGGACATTACGCTATACGAGACTGTATGACTTTCTGAGGGTGCCGGACGCAAGCAGACTATGTGTGGCAGACAGTTTTTCCTATGCGTGGTATGCCGGCACGTTTTTCCCATGTGTTTTCTTTACGTTTCGCAGCGGAAGGCAGAGTACCTGAAAAAGACAGTCAGAATACTGCAGGACGAGTACGCGGGCGATATACCGCCATCTGTCGAGAGCCTCTGCAAGCTTCCCGGCGTCGGCCCAAAGATGGCGCACCTCTGCATGAACATCGCCTGGAAGCAGGTCTCCGGCATAGGTGGGGCCGAGAACAGTTGCTCACGTGTTTGTGTTTGTGTATGTTTTGTAGGGGCGGGACTTGTGAGCAGTGAGCAGGGAGGCTGATTGAGGTGAATTTTAGGCTGATTTAGCTGATTTAGCTGTGCTGTTGCCATAGTGCAGCCTCGATATCGACCTGCTTCTGAGCTGTCTTGAGTGGGCGCGACTGGTGCTGGTGGATCCGGTCGATGTCCGCAGCGCCGTCGCTCTAGTCCCCATCTTTTCCAACACCACTGTTCCCAAGCTGGCGGCTCGTTAGTCGCGGGAACAGCGCCTGGTGCGACTCGCGACTATGGAATATGTGGACAGCACTATGGGAAATATTATTGGCGACTTGCTAGCATATCGGTATGCAGTCCTATTCAGTGCATGTTTGGCTTCTCTGGGTACTGTCGGCTGCTAGTGTTGCCGATAATAACGCTCCGGCTGTGGGTGCCGACGATCGCGTGCGGCAGGGGTGGACACCCACGTGCACCGCATCAGCAACCGGCTCGGCTGGGTGCGTCGGCCGACGGCCACCCCAGAACGGACCCGGCTCGCCCTGCAGGCCTGGCTGCCGCGCCAGCACTGGAGCGAGGTGAGACACGGGCGAGAGCGAGGTGAGAGACGTGCTGGGGCGGGGGTAGGAGACGGGCTGGAGCGAGGCGAGACACGGGCTGCAGCAAGGTGAGACGCCAGCTGGAGCGAGGTGGGAGACGGGCTGTGACGAGGTGAGAAACGGGGGTCGAGCGAGGTGAAGACGGACCGGAGCGAGGTCAACATGCCCTCTGCAGTGGGAATAATTCTGCCATTTTTACCGCCTCCATGGCCTGTGAAAAAGATACGGACGTAATCCAGCGGCACTGCTATGAGTCCCAGAGCGGGTGCATTGTTTGGCCCACGTACAATGAGAAGGTTGACTGGAAACTTACCAATTAGGGTCAGCCTAGGCACGGGGGCGCCGTGCCACAAATTGTGCCGCGCGTACATTTTGTAGGCCTCTGGCGAAAGGGCAGGGACGAAGTTCCGCGTTGATCTGGACGATATAACTTGGGCGGGGGGTACGGAGTATACGCAACAAGCTGCACTTAGTAGGTTCCCTGAACCCAGAGCAACTTATGAAAACTATTCAGAATTAAATGACAGAAATGGAGAACAAGTATCGCCGTGGATTCAATGATGTGGAGGCGAAATACATCGGTGTCACCAAAATAGGTTGAACTTTAATTTTTCCTGGAATGAGCGAAATCCGTCTTAAGAATCTTCAGCCATACCAACACTCAAACAACTGGAATATTATCACTTCGGGGTTATGTTTGGTAGCAGGGCTACGTACGAGCACGCCGTCATAATCGAGGTATCGCTGTGGTACTATAATTCCGTAGCGTCCGTACGCAGGTCGGGCCTTTGCAGGCCCACTGAAACACAAAATAAAATAAGTATGACGTAAGGATTGACATACAGAAACGAGAAAAATGAGTAAAAATAAAGACACCAAATAAGTGTGCGACGAATGGGCTTGTTTCAGCGTTTTTAATTCAAAATCGTTTTTAGGCCTGGTCCATATGAGAAACGCTTGTGTAGCGAGTGGAGGTCGACCTTTGACCATTGCGCCTTACACGTCTCGGTTGCCCCCGGCATGCGTGCACACCCCGGCTGAGTCTTACCTTTAAAGGGCCTCGTATCCCGCGCCTGCAACAGTGACCGTGAGCATGAGGCGCCAACTGGCAGTGATGCTATCCAGTTGACCATCATAGGAGGACTGGGACAAAACCACGGTAAAATTGTTTCAAATAAGTTTATTACCAGTGACTTACTGTGTCTGGCGATGTACCTTGGCCTAGCTCACGGCGGCAGATTACTTTGAACAGCAGTTTGACGGCAGTTTCCGGAAATTCGTGCCACCTTTGTGAACTGAACCTGTTGTACCTGGGTGTGCCTATGATGGGCAAAAACATACCCGTTCAATAAAAGGCGTTGTGAAAATGCCCGCTGTCTGTTCAAACCACTCCTCACACCCCGCAGATTAACCTGCTGCTGGTCGGCTTCGGACAGCAGATCTGCACGCCGGTGGCGCCTCGCTGCGGCGACTGCCTGAACTTCAGCCTCTGCCCTTCGGCGCGCCTCTCGCCCAAGAAGCCCAAACGGTAACGGAACCGCGAAGTCTGGCTCTGCGACACGCGCTGAAGGAGAGCGTGTGACGTGTCTGTTCTGTCGCGTGCTAGCCGGCGTCCCGTCCACCTCCGTGGGGGACGGATACCAGTTCAGGGCGCGCCGAGTGGCGGCGCCGCCGGCGCAGCTCAGGTCCGCTGCGTGAGAAGCTTTGTCATGTTGCGCATCGCAAGGTCAGGTGTTGCATTGGGCGCTGTCGCGGAGCGTTTGGGCGTGTGCTTAACGCGAGTGTCCAGAAAGAAGCGTGTGAGCGAGGCCCGACGTATTAGGCGTCGGGAAAGCCACGTTTGGTGGAAGAGGCGTTGGGTAGCTGCTCGTGACAGGCGACACAGGAGGTCTGGCTGGACTTCAGGACCATGTGCCAACTAGTGTTCAAACGATTCGGCAGGTTGGAGACCTGCGGACACACTCAACTCGGATTACGGTGGAGAACCGGATAAGTGGTCCACGCATGAATGAATGACATCGAGATAGTCCCATCGTGTTTTTTTTTCGCCACCTGTAATGGTTGCACTGTGCAGAACTTGCCTTTGAGTAAAGGAATGCACGCTCCAGCCTGGTCTGGTGCGGCGGCCAGAACGGCGGCCATGACGTGCGTGACAGTGCCTTCTCAGAACGTCGCAATATGTCAAAACCGGTCGTTCCGATAGTTACAGTTACAGTCTATGTTGAGACGTCAAGACGAATATTGAGGGCACAGATATAAGCATTGAGACTGTGGGGAGTTCATTATGACAATTCATGTTCCCCAAAAGGTCGGGTAAATCTAGTCGCTGTTCAAAGTTAGTCCGCCAGTAGCCTACCAGAACGGTTCTTTTTGACAATATGCGTTCAATTTCACAATGTTCGTCTTATTTGGTGTAGCTTTGGGGAAAACGTATTATAGACACAAAAGTACAAGTGCAGGCTGACCTGGAGGTCATCTGTCTCAACTTGATCAAGAAATGTATTCGATGATGAGAAGAATTCTCGGTCGGACTGCCTCACACGCAGCGGTGACTTGCCACGACGCCGACGGGGAGAGACTCACCCCACGCGCCCGAGCAGCACCTCTTATACTCCTCCTTATACTCCTCTTATACTCCTCATACTCCTCCCAAGGCTCATCCCTGCAATACGATCTGCGAGCGACTGGCCGGCGCCACCGTGACGCACCGCCCCGAGCCGTGACTGCTCCCCTCACTCAGATATGAGTCATCGCCCCACTCGGCTTACATGCTGACGCACGGTCCCGGGGCATGGTCCACCGCTACACCCACCCCTGATCTTCAAAGATCATACACTCACACCAACGATTCATGCCATCCAATCACTCGACACACCATAAAGTTGGCTCGGTTGCCGGCGCACACGCTGGCTGCGTCGCAGCGGCATCGTCGCAATTTCTTCCGCCGGCTGCTCTGGACAGGCCAGGATGCCCACCGGTTCCGTCCTGGTCACCATCGGTGCGTGCTCCACGTTGTCCGGGTTGTCAGCGACTGCACCAGAGGCCTCCTGGTGTGACGGGCCCGCGGCCACGTATAGGGGTCCGTCGTCCTCCTTGTCACTGGCGTCACATCGTAATGCATCGCTGTACCGAGACCGCAGATCCCGCACGTGCCACGGCACGCCATCCACCTCGGCCACTTGCGATGACACGATCCGCGTGACGGCGCCCTGACGAGATGTTGCCGTACATCGCGTACCACGGCGGCACATCCAGACGAGGTCATCGCCTGGATGTCCGGCTTCCTCGGGTCGCAGCCAACAGCCATCTTCCATCACGCCGCCGTCCGGCGTCTCGACGACGACACTGGCCGCGATCGAGCTGGCGTCGGTCCAAACGATCGCGCAGTCTCCGGCTCAGCACCACTGGCCGCGCGCCGGGTCTACAGCTGACAGACGCTCACACACGTGTCCGATCTGGGCGTGCAGGATCTCGTCATCCGTGACGTCATCCCAGCCGTCGGTCATTGCGTTGGCACGCTTTTTCAGCGATGCAGCGGCTGGCTGTGGCCGGCCGCTGCTCCACCGGCCTCGGGAGGATACTCAACCGCCCCACCGGCTGCGGGAGACTGCTCCATCGCCCCACTGGCCGCGGGAGACCGACCCGTCGCTCCACCGCTGCACCCGCCGCGGGACGCTGCTCCACCGCTCCATCGGTCGCGGGAGCCTGCTCCACCGCTCCATCGGTCGCGGGAGCCTGCTCCACCGCTCCATCGGTCGCGGGAGGCTGCTCCACCGCTCCATCGGTCGCGGGAGGCTGCTCCACCGTCCCAGCGGTCGCGGGAGGCTGCTCCACCGTTCTACCGGCCGCTAATCGTGGCCACTCTCCCGTCCGCGGCGTCCATTGTTTGCATCGGCCAGCATACACGAGCGCATCCGTGCAGCCCGCGTCCACCAGCACCCCGACCATCCGCCCGTTCACCTCCAGCCAAGTGATGGGCAGCGCGCCCCTCAATGGCGGGGAGACGGCGCTCGCGCTGACGCGGCGTCCTCCGACTCTCTTCCCGTCCGACGCCGCGGGCAGGCGGCGGCGACGTGGCCCGACTCACCGCACGTCCAGCAGCGTCGCAGTGGGCGTCTCGCCAAATGCGTCGTCGGGGCTTGTAGAGGCGCCTCTGCACGCGCCACGGCCGCTGCCACAGCGACGCGTTCATCGCTGAGCACGGCTCGTGCCCGTGTGAGAACGCTCGCTAGGTCCAGCGCCTCCGCGCGGGTGCCGGCCCGGATCGTCTTGCGGACTTCGTCACACCGCCTGCAGCCGCTGCCGGGGTCTCGGGCATTCTGGCCGAAATAGTTTGTATTCGATAATTAAAAAAATTATCGGTCGGACTGCCTCACACGCAGCGGTGACCTGCCGCACACAACGCCGACGGGGAGAGACCCACCCCACGCGCCCGAGCAGCACCTCTTATACTCCTCCTTATCCTCCTCTTATACTCCTTATACTCCTCCCAAGGCTAATCCCCGCAATACGATCTGCGAGCGACTGGCCGGCGCCACCGTGACGCACCGCCCCGAGCCGTGATTGTTCCCCTCACTCAGACATGAGTCATCGCCCCACTCGTCTTATATGCTGACGCACGGTCCCGGGACATGGTCCGCCGCTACAAGAAATCCAAATGAAAGAACTTAGGTGCTAACCGGGTTTACGTGATCAGTACAATGCTTTGCTGTGGTCAGGAATAGAGTATTATACATCTACAGGTACTCTAGATCGCATAACTGTTGTCTGCACTTTGCATAATCCCCTCGACCCTTGGCAGTATGTTCATAACAAACTGGGTGCAGGCATATTTGTGCATAAAATTGTACGTCATTAGCTTTAAAAACAAGATAAGGCGGTTAAACGCGTAAGACTTGTTCATCTGGCCCCTCCGCTATTGGCATCATAGATAATTGACCTTGTACGACCGCAAACGACCTTACATATCCTCACGCGACCTAGTGTGGCCTCATACATTACAATTACATCACAACACGCATTCAGTGTGGCAAACGAATGCTGCGTTTAAAGTTAACTATTAAAATCAAGATTTTGAGCTCAGCATGTGCTTTGCAGAAGGTACCCATGGAGCTAGGTCATGATCTGGGCCAAGATCATGTGCTCTTTGGCCATGTCATGATTGTGTATGGAGTTTTATTGGAGTGACGTCACAATTAATATGTGCCAACTCCATGACACGCTGCCCAAACAGGGCGCTATATATGTCATGTCATTGGGGCTTTACGACGTACTCAGCTGCTGCGGCTATATGGCGTCGCCTGCCTCTCACCCTGGCAGGAAAGGCACTCTCGCGGGCACCGCGGGGAATCGAACCCCGTACCTCTGGCTTCCCAGACACACAATGGTTAACGCGGACGCGTTAACCACTGTGCGTCTGGGAAATGATACTCTACCCGAGACATAGAGATGCTACTCTACCCGAGACACGTCAAGATTTGTCTTATGCGCGCCAAGATATCCACACTAACATCTGATAAAACGCTTGCAATTTCCCGTTAAGGGAATGTTCCACATTTGAAGGACTTTGACACCCATCATATGCAATAGAATCAGCTTACTTGTAATTATTGATGTGCTTTCAAGTACAAAAACTGCTCTAGACAATACAATTTCACTTTTTAGTAAGCATAGCGCTTAATGCGTCATCGCTCGATTGCGTCCTGGGAAGTTTGTATAACGTATAACGTATAGCGGCTGCCAAACTGGTTGTGCGCGATTGCCACTCAAGCGAACGAGCTGCCTCACTTGTAGTAATTCAATTTTTCAAGAGCAGTGCTCATAGCGCGCTGTTTGTACAGTCCACAAATGGTTATGTGTACGCGCTTCGGCCCATTCTCGTGGTAGTGTTGCATATCTTCCGAGATTTACATCATTTACCTGCATTTAGATTTACGGTCACAGTGCCATTCTAATATATTCCATTTCCAGTCTCATTTATGTTGAGACCGACTTTACTCATCGGCTCTAATCGACTGGCGTGCCGTCTGCTCTTCCGTACTGTCCCGCCAGGTCGCGCGGTCAGGGTCGTGCCGCCGCGCAGAGGCGCGCACAGACACGCGGCTGGCGCGCCTCTTCTGTGCTTTCTCTGGCGCACCTCCGCTGTGCCACGCCGCTGGCGCGCCTCTGCTGTGCTTCCTCTTCCGTGCTGTCCCGCCAGGTCGCGCGGTCAGGGTCGTGCCGCCGCGCAGAGGCGCGTACCGACACGCGGCTGGCGCGCCTCATCACACTTACCAGACTGTTTCCCTCCCAGTTATGCTCTGTTTCCCCTCCCCAACCTCAGCCTCTTGCTGAATACTGTCCACTCGTCATGTCTGTCCGGAGGGCAGCGTTCTCTGGACACTGTGCCAGGCCTCTGCTTGCAACTCCGTCTGCTGTGCTTCCTCTTGTTGGCTGTCCTCAATGAACTGGTTTTGATTCTCAGCTGACCGGGGTTTGACAGCTGATCAGCTGACAACAACAACACAACAGCAGTCGTCAGAATCAAAATAGATCTCCTCACTGCAGGGAGCCATTGCTCGTCTACTGGCATGGTTTGTTGATTCATCGCCTCCTGTTTCCAAACCTGTTGCGTGCGGTGCTGTATGTGCTGCTGCTCCTTCTTCAGTCTGGATTAGCAGCCGCTCATCCCCACGTTAAACAGGCTTCAGTCGATCACAATGGCGGACATATCACTGCCGACAGTTTTTGTTTTTCTTTTCAGTCCGGTACGCTTTACTTTGCATACAGCTGTGGACAACAAAAGGCCTCTCCCACCGTGTCTGAGGTCTGTCCGGCATTCCCGGCTTTTTCGGTAACTCATGAACGAGGGTGTTGAGTTTCATGTTCAGCCTGCTAGCTTTTTAGCACTCTGTCATTTTTTCTCTTCCCCGTGTGAGAATCTTGTTCACGTTCGGCTACGAATATCCGTCGATCAATGAGGAGAATTTCAGCTGCGAGCCACCGGCGGAGGGAGGCCGATCACCAGGCGTGGGCAGAGGCCAGAGCCGCGACAACACCCTGTCAGCGCTCGCTGCTCGGAGCAGAACGGTGGTCTAGGCCGCCAAAAATAGGACCCAGCGAGGCCACCACTCACCCGGGTGGGGACCAGACAGCGGCCGGCGCCAGGCGGCAGCCACTGACGGACAGCGGACGCCTGGCGCCTCTGCACGCCGCCGACCGGTCCTAGCAGCTCGACCTGCTGTACGCCGGGCTGCCGTGACCCGCCCGATCGTCAGCACAAGCGCCAACCAGGTGGTGCGGCTGGTGTGCGAGTGGCGGGCGCGTGACACGCCGTCGACCCACGCGCGACACGCGCCACCTCGCCAGCCTCAACTGCAGCTCGCGCTACGGCTGCGAGCACGAGTCCAGCCGCCTGCGCGAGACCACCGGCCAGCCGGTGTAGGTGGACCCGGATAAGTGTACAGTGCACGAGCACCTGCCAGAAATCGCAGCCTGCCGGACGCCGCGCCCAAACGAGACGCGCTTGCACTCGCGCCCGCTTCGCTCCTCCGTCTGCACGAAGTCAGTGAGGGCGCGCTACGTACCGCCAGGCTCTCCACCATCCGTTTCTTCATCGGCTAGTCGTTGGACACCATAACGGTGCAGGTGGGCGCGCAGGACTACCAGGTGCCCGACTCGTTCCACGCGTGACTGCGCCAGATGGAGAAGGTGGTACGCTACCTGCGGCCGGCGCGCGTGGTGCCCTGCGTCAGGTCATCGGCGGCTGCATGCGGCACGTCGCTGCTCTGCTCAACACCACCGTCGGTGACGACAGCGATGGCCCGGCGCCAGCGCCACGCCGGCGCCGTCCGGGGCGGCCGCGAAGCGCCCACTGGCCGAGCGGGAGACGCTGTGCAGGTGGGGCGGCTCTGCTGACCCTGTGTGGTCAGCGCCAGGCCGACGACCGACCCAGACCAGATCTCGGCTGATGAGGGGCGGTGGGGCTCACGGACTACGCGGACTGGGCCTGCCTATACTTCGACTCGTCTGCATCCGGGAACAGTGCATAATACTCTCTGCGAGGAACGGCGCTGTGATTTGGCTGCGCTGATTCCGTCGGTTAGCCACGGCCTGCCAGCAGGTGCGCGCTGTCAGCAGTGCTTCTTTGCTTGTGCCGTGATCGACCCAACACGACATGACGTTTTCGGTGGTGTGATATGTCGCGGGTGTCTGGCGGGATTTTATACTCACACATGAAGGGCTCCATCTTGTTGGGGGCTTATTGTTAGTGCGTTCAAATAACATTCAACGACCCAGTTACCCATCTTGTTCGATGCGTGGCGTGGATGTGTGCTGTGGGTGACCCGTCAGGTGTCAGGCTTTTTTTAAAATCCTCTTGGCGGCGCGCGAGGAATGACATTCAAGCGCATACATCACACACAAAATCGGCCGCCCCGTTCAGCTATGTACAGTTGGTCGCGAAGCGGCGTGGAACGCACTATTTAATACCCTGCGGCCATCTCGCGCTGGGGAGTCGTGACAGACAGACAGAGTCGAACCAGACTTTGCTTTGCCTGCCACCTATCGTCCTCCGCATCATGCAAGGTGAAGCTCAGGGGCTCCCTGATGACGAGTCGCCCAGGCTCTGTCAGGGAGCCCGACTTGTACCCTGCTTTCCAGTCGGTCAAAATCCTGTCGTGCTGCTTGTCATCCTAGCTCAGAATCTTTCATTATCTAAGCTGTGTAACGTTCGAATTACCGATGCCTTTGGTCTAAATTTCTGAAGATCCCGTTGGTTGAATCTGCCTGGCGCCCATTACCACCCCGAATCACCGTTCTGATAAACCCGGAACTTTGATAGCGTCGCATAGACTGTTATCTAGATGTTGCCAATGTATGAACATGGGCAAAACTCTATCGTATTCCTTGTCATCCTAGATCAGAACCTTCCGTTATCCTAATTGTGCAACGTTCGAAGTCCTGTATCTGCTGTTTTAACTGCCAATGATCCAGCAAGTTTAATCTGCTTGACCCACATTACCAACCGAATCACCGATCTGATGAACCCGAAATGTAATGTAAATGTATAATGGTATTTACGGATTGTTATCTAGAACTCTCAGTGTGTCGCATGGATTACTATCTAGATAGCGCCAATGCAGAAATACTTCATTGGTGCCGGACTCGCGTCAAAATATATTCTTGGGAAATGTGCAAACGAGGTCTCGGGTGCGAGGACAGGAAAACGCGCCACTTCGCAATGCTTTCGTTCTTTTTCACTTTCTTCGAAAATGACTTGAGGTCTTCCCGATTCGTTTGTTTCCATCTATGGCGGCATCTCGGCTCCCTCACCGCGGGATCAAGTACGAATTTTAGACCTGGCGATCGCCTGCTCGTGAGTCCTAGGGAAGTTTTGGCCGATATCTTTTGTCAGCCCTCTTCTATAGCGGCATGGCCTGGCACCCTACCGGCCAGTCGAGCCATAAATGGAACGCGTGGATGAAGACCACACTGTAGATAGAACGGTGACAATCCTGCTGTACTGTGGACACACTCATATTTTGGAAGCGAGCAAAATGTAAATGCTTGCTGCTCCCAGCTTCCATCGTATTTCCGTGTGTTTCCGCGCAGCAAGGATCCGATTGTTTGATTGAAGCGTTCAGTGATCCATTTGACGGCGGATGAAAAGCGCCTGCCCGTTTTTTTATCAATCTTCAACGACCTTGCTAGTCCTGTCAGCCTCCGGCTGTGCGAATTCCAGCCCCCGATCGGTGAAGAGCGAGACAGGAAGTACATGCCTGTGTACAAATAACTCAACCAGTGCGCGGGCTTTGGTTTGGCTGTCATTATCACGAATCACTGCTCTACGCTTTGGATCAGCAAGTCCATAGCCACAAGGACGTAACGCTTTTCTCTTTCTGTTCGTGTCCAACTGAACGATCCCGCCAGATCCACGAAAACATTCTGCCACGGAGCTGTTGGTTGAGTTCTCATCTCCAGCGGAGCTGTTAGACGGCTGATAGGGCTCATTTGAACGGGCACAAACCAAACAGAATTGTGCCGACAGCTCTTCATATCTCGATCGATGCCAGTTCACATGCCTGTGTGCAAATAACTCGCAGAGCCAGAACCAGGTCCTATCCGGACCGGAGTGACCAGGCTTGTCATGCTTGAGGTGGACCTGCCGAGCGATTAGCTGCCTGTTGAACCAGCGGAATGCTTCCTTTTTCCTTTCTTCCGAGAAGGAGGTCACACTGGTGATCATCATCTCCGGTTCCAGGCCTTGCTAGTGCCACTGTCCATAGGTTTTTCCCTTGCGTGTTGTTCTACCAGAGCTCATGATACAACTCTCGCAGCGGCATTTTCTCTCCTGCTGCGCAAAGGTTAATCCCTCCACGCGCAGTTCCTCCACAGTGTGAGACGGGACGACCGGCAGTGTCGGGATCCATCGGGTCTAAGTGTCAAACATGCACTCGAGAAAGCGCATCGGTGGGACAGTTTGTCAGGACCTCGTCAGTGATGTGCGGTGAAGTGGGATTCCCTCCAGCTCCTTGGTCCATCTGACAGAACGTCCCCTGGAATTCTTGATATTTCGTAGCCACTGGAGACTACAATGGTCCACAATCTACTGAAATGGTTTATCGAAAAGACAGGTACGGAATTGAGAAGAGAAAAAATGTACGCGAAAACCTCATTGTCACGGATGTGCATTTGTTCTCGCTGTCCGAAATCACTCTCAAAACAAACATGCAGGCCTGTCAACTCCATCAGCGTCCCGTTGCAAACGCACGCACCTTAAAGCGGTGTTCGATGCCTCTGTGGCTAACTTCGAAGTCTTCATGCATGTCTTGAAGGTGCGAAATCGTGGCCTTGACCAGAGTTTGCTTAAGTCTGTGATTGCTAAAGTGCCTGATTGCGTCTATCTTATCAGGATCGGGCTGCAGTTCAAACACCGATACAATGTGTCCCAGGAGCTTGGTCAGGCGACGACAGGGCACACCCCCGAGGGCTTTCGAAAGCACTGTCAATCATGCTTGCCGAAGCCGATGTAAGACAGCATACAGCACGGATAAATGGTCCAGCACAGTCTGCCTTCCACGTTTGATGGCATACCGTAAGCCGCCATTCCGTTGCCCTGCAGGCCACGTAACACTTCCGACATCAGACGTCGTGTCGGAAGTCGTGAAGGCCGTGAAAATCTGCGAGCGCACTTAAGTGTCCAAACATTCTTTAACCGTTAGCGTGAACGTGGCTTCGTGACTATGCTGCTATTGAGCTCTATAAAATCGAACGCAAACGATGTAACCCATCTGACTTTTTCACCGCCCAGATTGGCGCGGACCAGGGCGAGCTGGACGGCTGGATGTTTCACGAGCCTCCATTTCAGCGATCTGTCTCCTGACCTCGGGTCTCAAGTGATGCGGAGTCCGTCGCGCTCGGACTGCCTGGAGAGCAATGTCATCTGGAGGCCAGATGCGGGCAACCGTCTCATCGCCGCTGTATGCCACACACATCCGATAGGTGTCGAGCGGTTTCCCAGGAGCTAATCGATTCAGCTCCCCTGTTCGGTGCTTGACAGAACAACCTGAACCGGGCCTTCCCCGCGAGGACGTCTTCCCATTACCGGCCGTCGCACATTTCTCCCAGGACCGAATTGGCGCGCATAGCTTCACCGGCTCCATGCCAGCTTCTTCACCAGGGTCGGCATCCTGTTGCCGATGTCGTAACGCGCAAAACATGGAGAGAAGCGATCCCATTTCGCTGGGCCTCAGAAATATCAAGGCAAACACCGCGCCACGTACATTCGCACCGAAATTCACCTCGCTGACATCTACCATCCTTTCTGAGAAAGGATCCGAAATGTACTCAGATGCCACCTGCACGACCACCGGCTGCGCTGGTGTCCCACTCTCCCTGGCCTTGGACACAACAGTTACCAATGTGCTGGGCCCACCTTGGCTCTGAAATTCTTATTTTTCCCAGAACATCGGCGCCGGCCAACATCGGCGCCAGAAAGATGGTGTGTATTAGTTAAAAACGCAGTACCTAAAGTCTTACTGATAGAAAACGAATGTGCTTTCTTTTCCCCCCCAAAAAAATAACCCATCTCGGTAACAACGCGTGTATTCGCAAAGCCCAGGCAAGCTGGTAAATGCTCCACACAGCACATAAGAGGCACACTTACTGTGACAGCTGTGGCCTGCAATGCACCGTCCGACAGCCCCGTCCATTGCATTGATGCTGATCGTCCTGATCCACTAGGCTACACAAAACGCCACCTTTGGGATGCACCTACCCACGCAGACGCAGCTCTCGCGAGACTAAGTCCCTTCGAAGGCCGCGCCCAGGTGGGCAACCCATGGTCCGAGCTCGCTTGGTCAGAACTAAGTGACATCGCAGATAGCTGTTGATCCTCTGGAGAATTATAGGGGCCGTCAGGTCGTGTGGCTCGTGGCATTACGCGCCTCTGCCCGGACCTCTCTTCCGGTGAGTTGCTTTGACCGGAAGCGCGTGAGTTCAGCTTGGGCCGTCCCGCGCGTCGCTCCCTGAAGGGGCTCGCGCCGCCAGTTGAAGATGGCGTCGAGCAGCTGGCAAACGGCGGTCATCAGCAGGAAGCAGCCCTCCACGATCAACTTTGTCTTCAAGTGATAGACAATGA